GAGGAGGAAGGGGAGCATTACTCCACATGGAGGTTATAAAACCACTGGAGCAGCTGAAGATTTGGCAAGAGGCAGGATGCAAAGAGATCAGTACTCATCCAGTCAGGCTCTTCACTTAGCCTCAAAGTCTCTCTGCTGCTAGGAGTGGAAATGATCAATGCCATGTGGATATACCAGGTTTTGTGGAACATGGGGAAATATCAGGGGATGAGCATCCCTCTAGTAGCTGAGCAATTAATTAGGTGGCTCACTGGCTTTGGAGGAGATCCCAAACTGGGCTTCTTAGGAAACACTGGCTAGTTTCATACTTTTTGGGTGCCTAAGCCTAAAACAGCAGAATTAGGGGATTGCTGCTAGTGTTACAGGGTTCAGTAATAACCCCTTCTACATTATCCCCCAGCAACAGGCCCTGCACAGGCAGGTGCAGGTTGTTGAAAGAGAAACAAATGCAATTTTTTCAGCCTCTGGTAGCTTGGAATCAGGCCAGATTCTTCGCTAGCATCCTGGTCTTTATTACCACAGAAAACATTATAGCATCTCTTCTTTCCCAATTTGTGGCAGGTCCAGGCAGATGGAACAGATGGAAACTGTGTCACTTTTGTGCTGCATGATGAGGACCACACGCTTGGCAACTCTCTCCGATACATGGTCATGAAAAAGTAAGTAAAGCCCCTACAGTGTCTGGTGCTGCTAAGAGCACTTGTCTCCTATTCTAGCCTTCTCTTTAATAACCTGCACCTCAGGGTGTTAGAATGAAACGTAATCAGAAGTCACCTCCTTCTGTATCTGTTAAGGTCTTATATCAGACACATCAAAGATTCCTTATCTGTGACTTCTGTTCCCCAAATCAGCTGCTTTTTTTTTTTTTTTTTTTTTCCTTCCTTATTGTTATCAGGACCCAGAAGGCACTCATAACCCTTAAGGAGCCTGACAGGTCTCACCTGGAACCTCCATACAATGCCCATTGGTTCAGGAGTCTCATTTGAGCTCACGGCTTCCAGCTGTTGCCTGTTTGACAGGAGCATTAGTTCCTAGCTTGGCCATAGTATTGCTTGTACTTGGCTACAGACTTTACAGACCTGGTCACAATCCTTTCTTATCATTATAGGCCTATCTATTGATCACTCTGTTGTGTTTAACTTGGGTTTCTTTCACTTGGCCTGTGGATTGACTTTTTGGCCTGCCCTTGGACTTGTTTTACCCCCACAGACTTACCTGATGACCTTTAGTTGATCTTAGCTACTATCTCTAGGCTTACCTTATTCTACCACTTGAGTGCTGTAGGATGGGGCTGGCTGATGAGTTCACTGCCCCGTTGGCTGTCTTAACCTTCTTGGCTTCCAGCTTTCCATCCCTTAGGTAACAGCTAGTCCTTACTGCTCCTTGGTGGTTAATCATGGAGGAAATTGTGTGTCTGAAATGCAGAGGATGCTCTTGTTTCTCTGGCCTGCTACTGGGCAGTTGGTGGTGCTAGGAGCTTGCCAGACACATCCTTGCTTTGCAAAACTGCAATTCAAAGGTGGAGAAAGTGAATAACATTATTCAGGCTGTTTCCTTGCAGCATACTCCTCCTGGGAACCCCTTGGTCATTGCAGAAGAATCCTGAGCCCCAGCAGGTCTGAGATGGCCTGAAATTCTGACTTTGCTGAGATGTGCTGTGAACAGTCTGGGCTTCCATTGCTCTTTTTCTCTCTTTCCCCACCACAGCCCTGATGTGGAGTTTTGTGGCTACTGCATCACACACCCGTCTGAAAGCAAGATCAACTTCCGCATTCAGACCAGAGGTATGGATGTGTGCGTGTCCTCTTTGTGTCTGGCTATTTCTGTGGGATTCACCTTGCTTGTGTCAGGTTTCAGCTGTGGGTTGTGCAAACAAAGAAATGCACTTTTCTCTCTCTTCTGTGCTAGCCATCTGCAACTTCTGTGCCCTGTTGCTTCGTTGGGGAGGCTGCTCTGAGCTTTGTGCTGTAGCTCTTCTGTTTCCCAGCTGTAGGGCTGAGCAGCATCTGCCAGCTGAGTCCTGAGGATCCCATGGCCTTGCCTGGTTCCAGGTGTCTGAGTTGGTTGGCAGCAGGCCCTGAACTGTACTGCTGGAAGTAGAATAGATCTGCTGTTCAGTGTTAGAGTTGATCTCTCCTTAAGTCAGTGTGGTGTTTAGAAACTGTGCTGACATACCTAACTGCAACAAGATAATTCATTTTTCAACTACTCAGCTGTTTTGTAGCTTTGGACCTGAGGCTGTCTTGAAACGCTGTCTCTGTGTGCTGACCCAATGACTTGCCTCCTGAAGAGGACTTTGTCCCCTGACGATAGGTAGCACTGACAGCTCTGAGCCTCTTGCAGTCACCTGTTCCTCCCAACACACCTGGCCCTGTATGCTCTGCAGCTTTGTCTGCTGCCTAGAGAGCTGCTGTTATTTCATTCCTTCCCCATGGGGCTGATCCCTTGAGCATCAAATATGTAGAAGTCAGTTCCTGGAAGCAAGTTGCTTGCTCGTGCTTGCTGACTCTTCAACTTTGTAGAAATAATTGCTGCTCTGCCTGTTGGCTTTGCCAACGTGGGACTAACTGCAGGGTAAGTATCTGCTGTTCCTGGGCTATAGCCTAGAGCACGTAGGCTCTGAGATCTGGGCTTGGGCTGTTGATGATAGGCTGGCAGGAGCCCACACGTTGCTGTTTGCCATGTAAGAGCCTCTCTATATTATGGGAACAGCCATGCTGGCGTGCAGTGTTGAGGGAAAGGTCCCCAGCCACCTCCCATTTCACTAATTCATCTGCTTTTCTGAAGGGTCCCTTCCTGCTGTTGAGCCATTCCGCAAAGGGCTGAACGACCTGATGGGTGTTTGCCAACACGTACTCGATACCTTTGAGGTGAGACTGTTGCCTGAAGAGCTCAGGGGCCTTCTTGGTCAAGAGGGACTGAGAACTTTTGTCACAAAAAGCCTGGTAGCTTTTTCAGGCATTCTTTGCCTGACACTGGTTTGACAGTGGTTTTCCAAGTCCTAAACCACTACTTCAGCCACTGGGGTTGGGAAGAGGAGAGGACAAGTCAGTCTTTGCAAAGCCCTGTGGGTCCTCCAGTGGAAGGCACTGGTTGGTACAGCAGAAATTTTTGATGTCCCATGAGTATTTCTGCCTGTATTTTGGCTATGGCTGGAGCATTAAGGAGCAGAAATTCCTGCAGGTAATGGAGGAAGGAGTTCTCAAACTTCCTGTCTTTTAACTTAAATGGAAGCACCTCTGAACTTCTTGCTTCCACATGAGAAGTGCCAGAACACTCACTACAGCCTGAGCTGTAGGTTCCCTGTAGCCAATCTGTGGACTGCTCAGTTCTGAGTGCTGTCTCTAGGATGTACATTTGAGCAGGAGAGTGGCCGAGAGCTGGAGCTGGGGGTGGAGAGCAGACCCAGGGTACTGGAGACTGAGCTGCTGAGCATGTCCTCCCACAGCATGCTTGGTTGGCTTCTCTCAGTATTTCCTCAACGTGTCGACCAGGATTAGGCCAGAGCTTGCACAGAGTCTTTAGGGCTTACTCCTGCAGATGGACACAGCAGGCATGGCCTCACTTCCTTTGTATTGTGGTGACTAAAGGCTCAGTCTCTTCTGGAAGTTCTTGGAGCATTTTGTGGTCCCTCAACTGTTCCAGGATTTGGATGGAGAAGTCACAGCACAAACTGATGTGGTGATGCTGGTGTGTGAATCGCTCAGATGTATTGCTGTTAACATTTGTCCTTTGCTCTTGCTTGCAGAAGAGCATGAGAAAATACAGGGCCCAGAGGGAGGAAGAGATGCAGTAGCATTTGGGAATGGTGGTCCTCGTGGATGTTTGTATTGTTCATGTACTGAATTCCCCGTGTCAAGAGTATTTTGGTTTTGGTTTTTCTAATAACTACTTTGATGTGTGTATTTTCTCTAGTAATAAAGTATGTGAAGTTTGATGCTGCAGAGGTGTTACTGTTTTCAGCTCATGCAGGTACAGAAAACGATAGCTGCAAGGCAGCTCTTTTCACACTTTATTTCTTCTCCTCTTCAAATGTCGCTGTTTTCTGCCCAGGATGTTCAGATCACTTGTGATGGTGAAGGTAGTCTGGTGCACAGAGCTGCTCTGCTCCAGCATACAAGGGGAATAAAGGTGTTCAGTGCAGTGTAAAATCAGGCTTTGAGAGAGGCTATAGCCTCTTTCTGATGTAAATCCTTCTGTTACTGGCCCCAAACCCAAATGCCTCTTGGACAATGACAGTCATGGGGCATCAGCCACCTTGCTAGTAGGCCTATTTCAGTGTTTCTTTACCTTGAGCGTGGTCAAATTTTCTTCATATCCTGTCTGAACCCCTCCTGACAAATCCTTCTGTCATTTCTTTGCATTCTGTCATTGATTACCAGGGGGAGAGACTTGTGTGTCATTCCTCACTTCTCAGAGGAAGATGCAGAGAGCAATGAGGTTGCCTCTTGGCCTCCTGACTGGACTGCCCAAGTGTCTTCAGACTTTCTGTGCAGGACACGCCTTCAAACTCTTTTGCCAGCTTCTTTGCCCTCTGGTTGCATTCAAGTAATATAATCAGCCTTCATTTTTTTTAACAGATCGCCCTCAAATGAGCAGGGAATCATTTCATGGTGAGACAATTGAAAAAAAAAAGCCACAATGAAACTTGCTTCATTGAAACCCCCTGAAGAATGCAGACAGCCACAAGCCCAGACCACTCCTTGTGAGCTTATCTAGAGAGTACAGTGCTGAAACCCCGGCCTTGTTCAGATCTGCTGGCAGCTAGCCAGGGAAAGCCTTTCATTGAGTGTAATGTGGCATGAAGTAACAGGAGTTCTTTCTGCTCTGTGCTGGGTGCAGGAGTGTGAACCTTCCCAGTTTGCTCTGCCCAGGGGGAGCACCTCTGTCTCTTCAGTGGAGGTCTGCAGTTACCAAAAGAACCTGCTGGCACTCAATTAAGTATTTAGCAGACTTTGCAGACCCCCTGCTGCTTAATAAGAAACACCCAGAGACTTTCCTTTCAAACACCAACATGTTTTATTAACATACAGAGGAATAAGAGGATGTAAATGTCAGGTTTTCTCAATAAAATTGTTCTTTCAAATACAAATTGACAGAGTTGGTTTCTGGCAGACTGGCAGTGGGTTTGTGTTCACAGGCATTAGGTCCTGAAGCCATCTGAACCCTGCATTTCATTATAAAACTCTTTTGCTTCAGTTTGCTGCAATGGATTCATCTTGCCCATGCCAATGGGTTCCTGCATCTTTACAGGTGACTGTGGTGGCTTTGATTTTGTCTGATCCTGTCTGGCTTGGCTGAAGGGAAAAGGGGTGAATAAATAAGAACCTGACTGATACACCTGGGCTCAGTCCTGTGACTGCTAAGCCCCAGCAGCATGGAGAGTAACTTGAAAAAGATCTTGAAAGGTGGGAGCTGTTTTTGCACTTGCAGTTCCATGAGCAGCTAAACTGCACGGGCACTTGTTTTCTGGTGTTCCTTGCTTTATCTTTGTGTTTGACATGGTCTTGGTTGCAGCCTAATAGAGACCTTTGAGAAGTGCCAAGTGAATGCCACCGCAGTGTAAGAGTTTTAAAAGGATGCTGTTTGCAGCTGATAGCTCTCTTCTCTCCCTGCCCTCTCACACTTAGTCAAATTTTACGATGTTGGTTTTAATAGGAGACACTTGGGAGGAAAACACAAGGGGAAAGAAAGGCAAGGAGTCTGTAGTCAGTGTTAAGCAGCTGTGCAGCAAGTGGTACCAACGTCCAGAGCTGGGATGAATTCATGGCAGTCTGTTTGTTGTAATATTAATCATGTGCAGATCTAAGACTGGTTTTGAACCATTTAAGGTGAAAATGTTGATCTGAGAGTAGCTGCTAATGCAGAAATGATTAAATTTGCTGTGGAGCATAAAGAGGGATGTTAGCTATTTGGGGTCCGGGAGGTTAGGCAAAGTAAAAAGATTCCCCTGTGTGGATGTAATTGCTGTCTGTACTGTGAGTATGAACAGGGCCTGGCTGTCCTTGGGAGAGAATCACAGATCTTGAACATTTGGGGCACTGCTCCTTATGCTGTTACCAAAGGTCACTGCTGGGGAATCATTCAGATGCTTCGGTCTTCATTGAGTTGAATGGGAACAGTGTGTTTAAATCTGCTAGTCTCCGTGCAGTGTGCAGGTAAGAGAACAGTCATTGCTGGTGGCAGAGCTGTTCCTATTGCTGATTTGGATAGAGCTGGAGGAAGCCAGGCTGACACAGCTGGGGCTGTCCTGAATGGAAGAGGACCTTTGAATGCTTGTTTCAACGTGATAAAGGTTGACTCTTCACAGAAATATGTAAAATTCAGATAACTATTTTTCTAATGAGCACAGTTATTTTAAAAAAATCCTTCTACTAAGATGGAACATTTCATTGCTATCAGTTTTCTCCAATGACTTTGTCTTCCAACAAAATGCCAGCTAGGAGGCAGAGCACAGCATCAGCACTGTGAAATGCATCCAGGCCAATCTACTCTAGTGGGTAGGTAAGGTTATGGAAAACTTACTGGTCTAGATATCCCTCAGTCCTTCTGTTTAGATTTGAAATCTAATTGTCTTTCAAAAATATGATTTGTTTGTAAAATATTTGTTTTTAGCTTAGCTTTCACTGAAATACAATGTCACATGGAATGAGTTTAGCTTTATTTACAATTTTTTTTTCTCCCTTTTTCTTTTTTCCTTTTTTTTTTTTTTTTATCCATGACAAGGTGAAAAGGAGAAAGAGGAAAGGAAAAAGGGATATAAAAGAGAAGAAAAATACAACAGGAAAATTATAAAAAATCTGGTAAATGAAACATTCTCTTACAGATTTTCTTGAGGTTTTGGCAGGGGGTGCAAGCATGATTTTTAGAAAGTCATGCTGGAGAAGGCATTTGGGGTCTAATCACTTTAAATTGTAAGTTTGTGAGGGCTCTTTGCCATATTCTGGTTAGTTTCAACAGCAACTTCAACTGAAATCAGGTCTTCCCCATTGTATTTTCCACCTTAGCTTGAGCCTGAGGAACAGAATCTGCATCCTCCTTACAAATAGCCTGAACCTTGGTGTCACAGAGCCGTGCCCAAGACGTGCTGGGCTTCCAGAAACTGGGGAGGAGGAATTTGAAGCAGGTGGTTTGGCTGGATGCTGCCACCGGCTTCTGCTGAGGACACCTGGACTCCTAAGCTGTGCTGTCTCATGCATTCAGTCACCTTCTTGTGCCATACATAGGCAGGGTGAATGCCATCCCTGAGTGGAGAGCCTGGAACAAATTTCCTGGGAACAGGTAAAGAGGAGATCTTTCAGGGCTTCCTAGGTCAGGTTGATTGCACTGTGATGCTGAGTTGCTGCCCACCCCTCGATACCAGAGCTGAGGGAGATTTCAGGTCACTGATTGCCTAGAAAACCTATGTGATACCTGGGTCTTATCATGGTGCTCTGCCCAGGGACAAACTGTTCCAGCAGAGGGAGATCATAAGGGACAATGCTTTGCTTTTTCAGCTGGAAATTGTTGCTTGGGTTACTTGCCCTTTCCTCCCTGTCCCACATCCATCTTCAAATGACCACATCTCAACTTTACTTTTCTTTCCAATCTCCTCACCCTGTGTTTCTACCCAAGACAAATGACCATAAGTCACTTGGCTATCCTTCAAGGAACAGAAAAGTCCTACAGGGGCTGGGTGCCATTCTTCTTCCTCCTGCAGAGGTGACTTGGACTGGAGGATGGACAAGCAAAGCCCTGAGGCTGTGTTCAGAGCTAGTCCTGAGGTCAGTGAAATGCTATAGCTCTTACCCGGGTGGGTTATAATATGAAGGCAAAAACAATTTGAGCCCAGCCAGGAAATAGCTGTGCAAGGGAATCTGAGGTGTCCTACCATCTTGTCACAGTGCCTTCTCCTCTCTGCTTTAGGAAGAGCTGTACTTGTTGCTCAAGCGGGAGCTGCTCCGGTCCAGTCCAAGCTCCTGCCCATTGGCTTTCCACTTCCCCACAGAGCCCTTCTCATCTGTCGGTGTGATGCTCAGAGCGGGTCTCTGGCACCAGCAGCACAGGCAGGACTGCAAGGAGACAAAGAGGGTCGAAGCATGAATGTTATGTACGTGGGATATGAGGGAAACATTCTTGGCAGATGAACCTGCGCGATGCCAGGTTGTGCACTGAGCCGAGCTCTCCTACTGATTTGATGGGAGTAAGTTTGTCAAGATAGGGCTGGTGTGGCTTGGAAATGAAGGTAGCAAAGCCTCAGGGATTTTTTGCAGTTGTCCTTGTCCGTGAAGGACAGAAAATAGGTGGGCTCAATTCCTTGCCATAGCAGCTGGGAGGTGATTTTCATCTCATTCCCATCCTTTTTCAGCGCTTCCTTCCTTCATAGATTTCTCTCTGAGGAGATTGGGCTCAAAGTTTATAGCAGCCCCACTTCCTGATTTAAAGGCATGTGGAGTTGCTTCTGATTCAGAATGACAGGGACTTCTCTGGAGCTTGTCACAGGCCTTGCTCTGGGAAAAGTCTCCCCGTAGCAAGGCAGGAAGCTCTATTGTGTTTGAAGCTGGGAAGAGAGGGTGAACATTTGGGAAGAGGGTTACAATGAGCAAATATGGGCATCCCGTGGGCCATTGCCAGGCCCCACAAGTACCTGATGTCTGCCTTTCCCCTCATCCAAAGTCTATGGCAATGGAGGTACTATCCCTACCTGGAAGCAGTTCTTGAATTTTCGGCTGACAAAGTAGAGAGCCACAGGGTTGATGCAGGAGTTGAGAGAGGCCATGTTGATCCCAAAGTAATCCATGACAAGGAGGAAACTGCCAAGAGGAGAGAGAAGGGGCTGGTAGCTTGCTGAGTGGACAGCTGAAGGACTTTCCAAACTTCCAAATGTTTCTCTGCCCGGAGGCATCTTTAACTCATAAATAGTGCTCTCCACGTGATCCCCACTTCCTTTCTCTGTGCCTGCCTACAGAGCAATGCCATCTAGCATAGGGGTAGGAAGGTGTCTGAAAGGCAGTTCCCTCAGCCTGCTGTGAGCCCAGTGAACCTCTGCAGGTGCACATTGGGGCTTATGGCACAGTGCCCTCCTGCTGTTGCTCTTACCTGAGCAGTTCACATCTGTTGGGGTCTGTCTGATCATAGATGGTCTTTTTGAGGATGCGGCTGAGGTGGAGCGGCAGCCAGCAGAGTGCAAAGATCACCACCAGGCAGAAGACAGTCTTGGCCACCTCCCGACGCTGCAAGGAGAGGGTGGGCAGGGGAGAAGGTATTGAGTGGTTGAGTGTATGGGGCAATGCACACTCTCCTCGTGCTGACCAATGGCCTTTCATGCCCTTTCTATAACCTGAGGAGGGCTGGGTACCCTTTTGAGTCCAAAGCACAGCCTACCGGTCCCAGTTCCTACATCATGAGGTTGCCTTGTGAGATCCAGGCTGCAGAAAGCAGTAAGGTAGCAGTAATGCAATGTAGACCAGGATAAAGTTTCCTTCTCCCCATCCTACTATCACTTCTAGTCACTTTGCTGAGGTGGCCTCATCTATCTGTTCTTCCTGCTGTGTTATTGGAGTAACCAGCAGCTCACCAAGGTATGGGAGAGAGCAAAGATATAAATGACCGTGAGAATTGAAAAGCAAACTGGTCTGGGGTGACAGTGCTGGTGGTTTGGGTTGTCTCTGAGGTGGAAGATTGTAGAGGTGAGAGCCCTTCTCCCTGTTTAATCCATGCATCTGCATCTACCTGTCAAGAAGCCACTGACTGCTGTGAAACTATGTAGTGTATAAGAACTCACATATGTTCTCCCATTCTACATCATTACCTTTTATTTTGGGAAACAAGGTTTCTGCCCTCCTGGTTTTCTTACCCGTTTCATGTGGTCATTCAGAGCGATTCTCATGCCATTTCTCTTGCTCAGCATTTCACATGACATGAGGCTGTAGAAGATGCCAGTGCATACCAAAGGGAGGCAGAAGTAGAAGCCGAAAAGCCACCAGTCCTTCACGTCACGATAGAACTGTATGCAAAACACAGAGGAACTGGAAACAGGGAAGAAGGAAGGTAGCTGATGCATTGGTCTCTGACACCATTGGTGTCACTTATCAGACCACTCTGACACTTCTGATGTTTGAAAGTGTAACAGCCCCTGGGCTAGTTATACATGGGATCATCATCCCCCCAGGGCTTAACCCAAAGAGAGGAAGTCTGGTTTACACCTGGCTGCTGATCTAACACTTTTGTACGAGAAATGGTTGCAAGGTGCTTATTCAGGCAGACTTGGGGTGAAAGGGCAAGTTGTGATGCTTTACAAAGGCCTTCATCTCCTTGTTCACCCTTAGCTGGACTTGTGCAGTCTGGTTGTGGAGGTGCTACTTGGCCTGTTTTGACAGTCTAGCAGCTTCTTGAAGCTTCACCAAGATTGGTCATGACATTCTGAGGTGGGCAATGAGGATGCAACATAGCTAAAAGAACTTCTGCCTGTTTCCAGGCCTCACATCAAAGCAACTCTACCCCAAGTTGGTACTTTCTGCTTTGTCTAATCTCTCCCCACATTCTCCCTGTTGGCTGGAAGTCATATATCGTGCATCTAACCCTCTAATCAAGGAGAAAGGAAGCCCTGTTTGCCTTTGTCTTTGTCTTCCTTGCACTGCAGCTGGGATGGGTCAGAGCACATACCATCATGAAGCTGGATTTCTGTTCGGAGGCAAGCATGCACACCCACAGGTCTCGGTCCCAGTAGTTGATCTCTACCATGTCAAAGGCTATGGCTTCAGGGACTGCAAGCACAATGGCCACTGCCCAGATCAGCGTCACCTCCACCGCCTTCCACATGGGGATTCCTATGCCCTGGATCCGACTCCAGGAGGCCACTGCTCGATACCTGCCCAGTGTATAGGGGTACAAGTGTGGAGAGGAGTGAGAAAAGCCACTATCAGAAAGAAGCTAGGAAGGTGAGTATTAGAATTGTCCCCAGAGTCCCTTTCCTTCCCTCCTTCCTTCACCATTGCTTTGCTTTGGGAAGGATCTGCAACAGGGCCTCAAGGGATAAATGTGAAGTGAGCTGACCTTGGCCAGTATGTCTACCTCCTGGTGGCAGAGGTGCCACCCTTCCCCACCAGCCTAGCAGTTATTCCTGCATTTTATGCTCCTCATATCAACCTTTTCCAGCAGGACTTACACTTTTTCGTCACAGAGAGTAGTTGGTTCCTGTTGGATTTCAACTCTACATAAAAGCTCCCTCTCCCCTTCTCTGAATTTGGCCTGGAACCAAGTCACTCTACAGTCTTCTAATTGCAGGCAACAGAAGAATCTACTGTGGTTAAATATGGGCCAGGCTGGGCAGGGCACCTGTGGAAGTTGTTTCTCACCTGTCGATGCTGAGAGCACAAAGGCTGAGGACCGTGATGCCCACTGAAGCCTTCTGGATGAAGGGGACCAGCTTGCACACCTGCACACCGAAGGGCCAGTCCTTTGCCAAGAGCTGGGGAAGAATCTCAGGGTTAACAGACTGCTATGGGAAGGTATGCCTGGCTTCCCATAATAGCAGGTGGTTACCCACAAGGTGCAAGAAGCCCACAAAGAGCAGCTGAAAGCACTCTGAGGTTACCTCCACTGGGATGGCATGGTGTGTGCTCTCCGGTGCTTTGGGTTGTGTTGGGAACCACTTGTTTCCCCAAGGGCTCATTGTGAGATGAGCTTACACACACATGGAGAGATGGTTTGGACACCAAGAATCATGAAAGTCGCAAAGGGCTTTGGGATGCCTTCAGAGGGGAAGTGGATATCGTTCTCTGAAATAGCCAAAATCCAGCAAGGACAGCTTCTTTGAGATAGCTTTCACAGCCATGTAGACTTATGTGCTGCTCCCTATGCTCACCCCTTCTACCACGTTTAGATTCCATAGTGCAAATTCTCCTCAAAACTCTTCTCACCTTCTCTGGAATTAGATCTGGTGTTCCCTTTAAAGCCAGTCCCTACTTGTGGCCCAAAGCTCAGCTGAGGTGAGCAGAGGGTATCATTGAGGCAATATGAGATAGGAGAAAGGGAGCTCTGAGAGATGGCCTAGTGTTTCTTGAGGGCAAAAGCTTGTGTTAGCATGGGCTATCCTGTGGATGAAGCCTTTGGTATAAGCACTGAACTGTGTACAGCCCTCACTGCCATCAGTACTTACCTGACCAGGACATAGAACTGGGTATTCAGCCTGTGACAGGCTCATCTGCCAGCTTCCTTCTGTAAGATTGTTCCTACAGTCTCCGTCTGGTCCCACATGCCCTTTTTTATGATATGTAGGACCTTAGGACATACAGACTTGTGAAATAGGACAGAACTAGGCAAGCACACCAAAGAGGAGGGCTGTCAGACCTAGGTACACACAGTCCAGTTGTATGAGTGCATCTGAGCTCCAAGTCCTTCACTTGCAGCCCTTCTGGACCCTTCCTATAATCCTCTTACTCCAGACCACCAAAACCTGTCCAGTATGGTAGACAAGGAGTAATTGCATGTCTCATACAGTACGACTCCTTTGACTGGGGCCTCAGGACTCCATCCAACATCTGCCAAATCCTCTCTACCCTGTTTATAAAACAGCCCTTTTCAGTGTTCCTGGATGAGTCTTTGTAGATGTTTGTGAATGCCAAGTGACTACAAGTCACTCTTTTTCTTGCAATTTTAAATAACATTTAAAAGATCTGGATATGTGTGTGTGTATAGAACACATCAGTGGCTGAGAACAGCTCTGCTTTCCCAGGAACCTACTGTGAGCTTTGTGCCTATTTATTTTTCCCTTCTCCTTTGGAAAGCATGATCACCCTCCCCTAATCCTTGCCAAAAATGGAGTCTGTGATATGGAGCAGAAGATAGGAGATAGCAGGGCACGAAGGCAGGTGGTAGCAGATACCATCCTGCTCCAGTACTCCTGTTACACAGAGCCTACCTTATAGACATTGATGGGCAGAGCAATGAGGATGTAGAGAAGGTCTCCAAGTGCCAAGCTAGCAATGAGAACATTCGGCCCATTCCTCATGCACTTGTTCTTGTATATGATCCTCAGGAGTGTGGAGTTCCCAATGATCCCTACTATGAAGATGGTGCAGGACACGATGGTGTTGATATACTTGAAGATGTGCCTGATATCTGCAGGCTTCACACAGACAGGCAGCAGGGGTGGCTCCGACCCACTGCTCTTGGGGAGACTTTCTGAGTAATTGGGTGCCTTGGCATCCTTGAACAGGCTGGGCTGCAGCAGGCTGTAAGCCTGCTCCTGGCTGAGTGCCTTGAAGGGAATGGAGCTTGCCTGGAAAGCCTCTGGGGTCTGGCCATGTGCCCCAGAGAAGAGGCAAGTCAGGAGGATGGCCAGAGTAGTGGGAGCTGAGATTCTCGCCGTTGAGGACCGAAGGATAAAGCTGGCTGCAGAATGCAGGACTTTTGGGATGTCTTTGTTTGGGTCTTGGTCTGATCTGAAGATGAAGAAAGGGACAAGGGAGAGAGGTGGGTTAGCAGAGGAAGGGGCCTGATAGTGTTTAAGAAGATGGCAGAGAGGTATTTCGTCTGCAGTCAGTGGAGGAAAAGTAGTTTTGGGGCATCTGCTCCACACACCTGCACAGCAGGATGATTCTGCAAACCCTGCATCATCCACAGCTTTTCTCCTGCTTCACGCCATGGGTAGAGTGGAGCAGCATGAACATCAGCACATCCCATATGCTATCTTTCATTGCAAAGAGACAAAACTCAGCACAGTATCCTGAGAACTGTGCTGGGAAAATACCATGAGGCTTTTTCCAGAAATGCTCTATTGATACCTGACATCTTATTCCAATTTATGTGCAAGCAGAGCAACTCCTCCTTCCCCATCCTTAATCGCTGTTAATTGAACCACTTCCTTTCCAAATCCACCATGCTGTTCCACTCAATACCCGGGGACATAAATCTCCCTGTGTTGTTTGCAGTGCTGACTGCTGAGCACAGTAAAAGGTCTCTCAAGCTGACCAAGCCTGCAGCACTGCTAATAAATATCACCGGATTGGGTTCTGTTTTGCACATCTCAGCCAGCATTCTCAGGTAGGGCTGGTTGAGCAGCAAATCGCATGCAGCTTCGGGACAGCTGAGGATGCTGCAGAACCGTACTGGTATGAATTTGGGGGAGGGGCTTCAGCACTGTGTGTACAGTGTGGGACCATGCTGTTGGGAAGCCAACCCCAAGAGCCACCAAGTATAGCCACAGCTCCTCCAGGTACAGCTGCCTTGTGTGTCAGCTCTGCAGGAACACTTGTGCCTTCCTGCTTGTTTGGGAGTCTCCAACCATGATTGGTAAGAAGCTGGATGCTTTCCCAACAAACCAGCCTAATCTGACCTACCCTTTCCTCAGTTTCATCCTGCTGCTTCTGCCAGGAAATCTCTCTGACCCTTCAGCCAGGTTCTTAGTGAATTAAGCTGCAAACAGGCAACGTTAGTAGGAAACCTGACATTTATTCTCAGTTACATGTCAAACAGAGGCAATAAAATAACCACAGGCTTCAATCACAGTTCAGACCTCATGAACTCAAGAGATGAGTTTTCAGTTCTGTTAAAACAACTACTTTTTAAAGATGTTTTCTTTCTAGTTTGACCCTTACATTGTGATGGCACCTTAGATACAGTTTTAGCGCAGGAGAGTTAAAGATCCCATTCCTTTCTTTCCAGCTCACTGTCAGCATGCTTCTATCTGCTGAAATATTCATGCCTGGTGCATAGCAATTCTGCGTGCTCACCATGCCTTTTATCTCTGCAGGCTCAAGCAGCTTTGCAAACTTATCTTGCAGATAAGCTACATCAATATGAGCCAGAATGGCCACCATGAAGTTACCTGCCCATGTCTGGCTGTGGGAAAAAAAAAAAAAAAAAAGCCTCTCCATATGATGGTTAGGAGTTGACCCATATCTGTTCTGAGAGCACCCAGCTTACATGGGCATCCCAGCACTGAGAAATACCTGCAGGTGTATCCTGCTACTCCTAAGCACAAAGGAATATGCACATGAGGGAATCCCTCATCTCACACAATCTCTTCTGCATGGGCAGAGCTAATTCTCCCAGGAAGGCATGGTGGATGTCAGCTTATCACTTGGTGACCACTGTAAAATGCTGCGAGAAGAACCTTGGTGGTAGCTCTGAAGGTCCTGGCACCTCTGCTGGTCCAGCACATCCCTTACAAACTGACTGCCCAACCTGAGTTTTTGTGCCAAATATTCTTCAATACCTCCTTCATTTGGCTATTTACCTAAGCATCTGCTTAGACACTGAAGCTTCCCTGGAAAGCTGTGTGCTGGGCAGCAGTGGACTGCTCCTCTCTGCTCTCCCTGGTGAAGGACTCAGAGGCTGATTCTCAGAGGTTGTGCCCCCAGGGCTTTGGCAGAGGAGCTCATGTGAGTAAGAATCACAGGACACATTTCGCTGGATCCTGCCCATTCCTTCCACACTACTGAAAAGAAGTGCTTCTCCTCCATCTTGCCTTATTATACAACAATTTAATAAAAGGGGAGCATTGTTTTCTCCTGCTCAACAGCCCACTGACTTCTTGCCCTCCTTGTTCCCTCATCTCAGAGTGCTTGCAAGTATAACTTGTTCTCCCTTGTTGGGGGGGAATCAAGGCACGGAAGGCTAAGAGGCTTGTTAAGTGCCCAGCGGGTGGAAGCCAAAGCCAGCACCACTTTACTCCAAATTCTCTGAGCCTTGTTCACATCTCCGATCACCTGGGGAGGTGCCTGATGGCCCCATCCCATCTGCCCAGCGGAGGGTGCAAATAAACATCTTTTGCAGCAAAAATGCCTTGAATGGGGGAAAGAGGGAAGAAAGGCAGATATGAGCACACATCCCCAGTTGTTTCCCTCTCCTGAACCCCATCCAGTTCCCAGAATAGACCTTTCCCTAAAAGGTGTGCAGCACCTGTTAGATCTTTTTGGGGATATGATCCCTCCAGCACCTCCATCAAATTGTGAGATTGAAAAACATGTAAAAACTCACCCAGGCGCAGGGAATCATTTTGTTTGCAAATCAGAGCATGGAACAGCAAAGCTTTTCATCAGACTCAGATTACCTTCGAGACCATGAACTCTGGATGCTCTTGGGATCAGTTTCTCTCCCTCTCACTGCCCCTCGTCTGTCCCACAGGTCCCAGGAGGATGGCAGCATTGTAGATTCTGGAGTTCAGTTTTGTGTTCCTTCCCGCTTGTGACTTGCTGAGGTCTCTCTGAACAGAGACTAAGTGAACAGCACTTAGTTATATAGAAAATTACTGGGCTGCCCCCAAACGCAGCTGCTGCGACCAATAAGTGCAAGGCAGGACAGGGATGGAGGAGGAGGGTGAGGCAGGCAGGGATGAAAATCATAAACAAATCCCTCTCAGAGCGGGGGGAGAGAGCTGGGGGCAGCTGCTGACACCAGCACGGAGCTGTGCTTTGGCAAATAGACCCCAGCCAGCTTAGGGGAAAGTTTTGGGAGACATCAGAGCCTTTTGTGCCCAGAGTGCACGCACAGCAGCAGGGATGTGCTGTTTCCCTTCTGGCACAGTAAGTCCTTACTGAGGTGCTGGAGGTGGACAGGCTGTGCTTTGCCTTCCCTGAGCCTCTATGTGAAGCCGTCTGGGTGAGAGCTCAGACCACCCTCCATCTGCAAGGAGGTTCTTTTTCACATGCCAGCTCTGCTTGGATTTTGCTCTTGAGATATAGGGCAGAGCCTTTATGGCTGAGAAGTCAGTGCTGCCAGAGTCCCACCAGCTTCCCTCATGCCTCTGGTCTGGTCTCTAGACATGGTTTTGACTCAGAGATTCCACTCTGAGTTTCACCTGCCCTGTGCGGAAGATCTCAAACATCTCTTCTATGAGATCCCTTCTGCCTTCCTCCAAACCCCTGAACCTCTTCTGCACAGCCCCAGGGACAAAGCTTCTCCCAACCTCCTTGGCTTATATGCTTGCAGAGGAAAGTTTTTTTCCTCACTATGCTCTGAAGCTGGCTCTGCTGCTCAGGAACTGGGGGTTTATTTGGTATGGGACAGGTTGTTTTATTAAAAAAATAAAGAAAAAGGAATAGCCAAATCATCTTGTTTCAATGTCCTTAATGACTCAGGATTGTGTGCTGGCACAGCATGCTGGTGAAGTCACATTGATTTTTGGAGTAACTTTACTTTGGTATGGGAATCCCTTTGCCCTTCTAGCCCCAAAACAAGGATAAAAAGAATGGGTTCAAACTCTTTCCTAAGTAGAAGGAATCTCAAGCACATGAGAACATGAATGGTACTCTGGAGGGTCTTGCAGCCATTCACTGGGACCTGGACAGGCTGGGCAGTCCATCATGCAGCCCACAAGAAGGAAGTATCAGGTCCTGCCTCTTGGGGAGGAACAACCTAGCTGTGCTGTAGGAAGCCATCCCATAGCCTTGCTCACCCTGGTTGCCCGCCTCCAAACTATGTCCAGTTATAACCTGTTATTTTTACATTTTATCTTCAAGCTAGGATATTTTTTAATCTTTTTTTTTTTCTTTCCCTCCCCCCCCACTGGACTTTCCATTACCAGTCTTCAAAGTGTAATTTCCAGTAACTTCAAAAACTATCAAAGCCATGCAAAAGTCCTCCTGTGTCTCCATGTAGTTTTCTCTTCTCCAGTCTTCAAGTCTTCATGGGAGAGGTGCTCAGCAGAGAAAACTTTCTAGAATGGCATTTGGGCTTTCTAGGTGGCATTTGCAAGCAATAAGACAGAAGATGCTTTGTCTTCTAGGTGACTTCAATAGCATTCAAGTTTGCGGCTATTTATTTTCACCCTGTTTCATGGGCATCATGAACAATGGTGCAGGAGCTCTGCTAATTACGGAAGAGCTGCAGAAGTTCAGAACAGAATGTTTTTATATGTGTCTGCTGTTCCAGCCTTTTTTTCTGAGTGGATCCAGACACAAAAATGGATTTGACTTGGAAGGAAACTCCCTTTCATCTTGAGATTTGGCCAAAGATGCCACTGAGAATTTGAGGCTCTCTTTGCTCAGTGGTCAAGAACTGTAAATAGGGTAGAGACAATCTATATTTGTTGTTGGGAACTTTATTCTTTTTTGGTATAGAAACGAATTATATGTGTTTTCTCCACTGAATCATTTCCATGATTCCTTGAAGCTTTGATGAATCAAAGCTGTGGATAATCCATAGAAAAGTTAATGTCTTTATTTACTGCTTACTCTGATCTATTAGAGTTGACTCCTCCTCAGAAGAGAGAACAACACTTCCATTTAGATTCTTCTCTCTTCATCCTGTTAAGCATCCCAAATTGAAGAATCTATCACCCACCATCTCTCTGTGGCTTCTCACGTCTTGGCACTGCTTGCTCTGCAGAGATGACTTTTCCCCTGGTCTCACCAGCTTTGATCTCATCAGCTCAGATATCAGAAGCAACAGGGATTATGTTTTGAGGGGTCTATTTTATTTGCTTAGCTTTTGGTTTAAAGCTGAATGTTTTACTTAAAAACACTTTATATTATTGCAGGGGGTAGAGGCTGCTTCTGGAGTCTGCCTGAGGATCCCACTTCTCACTTTCTCTGCTGACACTGCCATATAGTTATTAGATTCAGATGTTTTTCTTTCTTTTCTCTAGCTTCATTCTTCCTTGCTCATCTCATCTCATCTTAGCTTATTCCTCACTGAGATATTCCTTCTCCCAGACAGACCACAGGGAAACGTAAGGTAAATCCAGCTAGTGGCCTGTGCTGATGGGTGCAGCCCATCCCTGGCCTTAGTTTGGAGGCAGACATCTGGTACTATCCTCTTTTGGACCATAACACTCCTAGGTGTCTCCAGCTTGCCAGCCTGTGGTCTCAGTGAAGTATTTCTATACCCTGGCGGATGTCCCTGATACAAAAGTTGGCACTTCTGACTTGGCCAGTGTGGGACCAAAAAGTTTCCCTATCTGCTGGTGCCCTTGTGGTGCCCTCTCATCATTCCCTGAGTGAATCTGTCCCATGAGGAGCACATTTATGCTCCTCAGGCTGATCAGAAAAAATGCACCTCATACAGCTCATCTCAGCCCAGGGCAGAAGTCATGGCATGTCAGTTCCATCAACTTTTTGGCCTTTTTGGAGGGCTGCAGCATTTCCTCTTCTCAGAATACATGAGTCCACGTGGCACCTCTCCTCTCGACCCCACTGGGGAGTTATCCTGCAGCCCTATTCTGGGATAGTCATGTTTTGGCATGTGACAGAAGTATGAATGGGACTTTCTGTTCTGCTGGAAACAAAGGATGTCTGCAGACCCCCTTGGAGACCCCCAGGAAAACAGCACTCTTCTTGTACAGTCAACTGGTGTCTTTGAGACAAAATTCATTTTAAAGGCTAATGATAAGTGTCACTTAAATGACCAGAACAAAGATACTACTTCTGAACTAAGCCATGATACTACTTGGCATCAAGCAGCAATGCAGCATCATGCAGGCTTCATGCTTGGCAAAAGCTGCCCTTCCATTTTAAAGGTGACAGATAGAGTGTAATTAATTTCATTTTCTGCTGCCATTGGGCTGAACTGATTTCTGTGCAAGCAGCACAGAAGTTGGCTTGGCCAGACTAGCTAGCTCAGAGGAACTGTACCTCAGAGAGTCCTTGCTGATGTTATAGGAGAAGACTGATAGTTTGTCTTCACACTACCTTTAAGCCTGGATGATTGATGTGTGCAGCTTGGGGCTAAGATTTGGAAAGCAGACACATTCTCAAGTCCTTGACAGAGCATGTGTATGAGATCCTACTAAAGTTTGTCATCTGTCCATCAGTGTCTCCCGCTGATGCTTCAGTCATCTTTTGTAAGAAAAAGATGATCTGTGGTGAAACGTAACACCGCGTCTTCGTCATATCACAAGAAAGAGCACATCGCTTTTGCTTTTTGTTTGGGGAGTTGTTGAAAGGATACACTGTGAAAATGTATCTCTGCAGCCAAACTTCCATGGTTTTCACAGTTTATTTTCTATGAAACAAGCTAAGACAAAGAAAAAAAAACATATTTTAACCTGAATGTAGTCTTGAGCATCTGATTTGTCGCTTTGACTTGTCCAGTGCTCATCCTCTTAATATCCCTTAGTTCCTCTTAGCACTAGCTTTAGATCAGCTAGTGTCCACCTACCTTGAAAGCCTCCACTCTTTCCCATAACCTTATCAATTCCTGCCCACATGGTCCTTGAATATGGCAATATTTGATATTCACAATAGAAAGGGCTAATAGATACAAACTAAGTAGCATGAATTTCTAACATCGTAGCAAAGGTTTTTGTGAATAAGTGCAACCAAAAGCAAGCTACTATGATGAAAGAGGTCAGTCCAAGATTAAATGAATGGCAATCAAGTTTCAAGGTATCTCTGTGCTGTGGGATTAAATGAATGGCTATCAACTTTCAGGATATCAAGTTGGGACCATCTCTGAGCATTAACATTAGGGCCAACATTCACTGTTTGAGGAACAGTGGAAACATATTGATGACTTTCTAGTCAAAGCCACTAGAATGACAATCCTTAAGGCACTGGCAAAAAAAAAATAATCACTTTTGTTTCAAGATACAATCATTGGATTTAACCTACAGGTAGAATAATCTTGGAACTCTTCTCTAAAATTGTGCTGTTTTTGTGTGATCTTATGATATAGGAATCAGATCATGTAAGTATAGTTGTAGAGTTGAGAAATAGCTGCAAGAATCATTAGAGAATTCCAACTTACAGTCCCTAATATAGGATTGCATACAGACATATTGATCCACCTACAAAATGAATGCGGTTAGGTACCCTAGCATGCATTCAGGCTTGGTCTGGAGGTGTGTGTCAGGATACTGGTGGCACTAATTGATTAGTGCCCTGAATTGAGCCCTGAATGGCCTCGCCTGAGACCTCCACCCACACTTATAGCCAAGTTTCAGCTGTAGGACCTATTTCAGTTCAACCTGTAAGGTTGCTTTCTGGTTTAGGCCTAATTGCAGACTCTGTTGGGGCTGTGACCCACAGCTTGGACTTGTAATGTGCCTTGTCACCATGAGCTGACAAGATTTGGGCTTCTGGTTGAACCTGGCTGCTGAGTCCTGCTCTGCTCAGGTACTGTGGGACAGGTGATAGCCATCTTGTTGCCCCTTTGGTGGGGTGTGATGTGTCCCTGTGGCAGAGGTCCTTTGCTGTGCTAGAGTGTGGATATGCATGGGAAAAAACTTGTCTCTGTAGGGGTAGTTGGTCACAGTGATAGCCTTAGAGCATGTTCCAAATCCTTCCCA